CGTCATGGCGGGCAATTCTTCAAAGTCATGCCCGTGTCGACACACATACGTGACGTGGCGACAGACCAGACTTTGGCTGGTAGTAATAGACCACGTACAAGCCCACTCAATTGCGTTGCATATGAGTAGCCTTCCTTCCTCAAACTCGAAACACCAACTTTTTGTCTTCAGTGTGATGCGCTTTTCATTGCTATCATGTATCGATCTCATTGGCATCGAACCTTAGCCCGCCCACAGTCGCTCGTTAGTCAAAACGGCAGGAACGGTATCAGGATTACGCGACATGGCGTTGTGTTGATGGAGTGCTTGCAAAGTTGGTGGGCGATGTTGGGTTGGCGTTTGAGTATACTACCAACTGACTGACCTACTGCGGTTTTCTTTTGCATCAGTTATTTTAAAATAATGCCAGATTGATTCAATCCAATTTTGTGGTCGTGTTACCGACTGTAAACACCTTGTCGTGCAAAGAGTTTCTCCTCATATCTCGATAAATCTTCCAGTTCTCATCCAAATACTGGCGAACCCTTTACAGCCACCTTGACGGAAAGCACAGAACGCATTGTAAGTGCGGGCAAATACGTAGCTGACTTACTATCATCGAAGAAAAAGGATACCCGGTAGGACATGGTTGTACTTGTTTCTTTAAGAAAAAACTATTAATGTGGACCACATTTGAAATCGGGAAATCAGTTGCTTACCAGTTAAATGAGTACTACCACGCGTACGCGAGAGAATCAAATCTTGTGGGCACTCCCTGAGGACGTTTGAAATAAGTATAATCTTACAGTGTAATTTGTGTTTAAAAAATCTGCCAGCTCCTCTCGGACTGATATAATAGCGTTTATTTTATCTTGATGGTATTTCTTCACACCTCAGTATACACAGTAGTAGTATAAAGCTCTGCTCTGCGCATAAGGCTGTTACCCCCCCCCCCCCCCCTTACACGTGCTTATTAATACATTGAGGTTAGTGTTGCTGCTACTGTTGGTAGAACCTGTATAACGTTGATTCTATAACGTTGAACGTCCGAAAATGATATAGGTGAAAGCAAAATGAAGGGGTATATTATCGTCATCGACCTTACCAAATTCCGACGAATAACCGAGCATAAATTGCACGCATCAGGAAACAAGACATAGCATTGACTAAATCGGTAACGCAGCATGTGTTACCTATCGTTGCATGGTAACAAATAACGTTGCACAAATCATTGGCGCTGCTTTGCAGCAACGTTATCTCATACATCTATCGCTCTACTAGTTTTATTTTGGAAGCAAAATTCTAGAGAATTCTATTTTGGTATCACGAGCATCTTCTTCAACGCCTTGCTCTGTTGCGTAGATCAACGGCCTATACATGATGAGCAATAAAAGGCGAAACCGGAGCATTATAACGTAGTCAGCCGTAGCGGTGTCCATTTAGAATCCTCTAGTAGGTATGTGAACATAGGTGTACACCGCATTAATCGCAGCTGCCATCATCAGGTACTTTCGGACGCGAAGCCCAGTGTTTGGTAGGTACGTGTGCTGGAAATTCCACAGGCTGTGTTGTAACCGATCTTGTGCTTTCGTCCAATGACAGAAGAAATGGCATTACGCAGCGGTTTCAGCGCAACTGAACACTATAAGCTCATGGACCCTCTGCTGCATAGCCGTGACTTGTTGCACCATATTTAAGGGCGATTCGCGAATATAGCAGTCCAAACTGCTGCTGCTAGCCTTAGCAAGAACACCGTGTAAACTAAAGAGCGGTCGTTGGCTAGAACTTACATGCCTTCTAAGCCGGACAAGTATGGCATCAGGTTCTATGCTATGGTGGGATAAGGTAGATTGTATATTCATACTATCAACGACAATGGATCTAACAATACTGAGCCCAGATACCCGGCGGAGCGTTATTGCAATATGTTTTCTGGGCTACGGCGGCCGCTTGCAAGGACACTACCACTTGAAGATATCTCGGTGAAGCTGTAGTCGGTCTTAGCTTTCTGGGTGGCAATTCACGCTGACACATTATATCCAACAGGTCGCCGTCTTGTTGTGCGCGATAACTTCTACATTAGACACGAACTGGCAAAGGCTGTACTGGCGTTTACGGATGGCGAGGTTAGAATGGTAGGGACGTGTAACGTTAATCCGATGGAGAAGAGGAGTAAGTCAGA